CCTATTTCTGAATAAGTAAATGTTAATAAATTTTTAGCAAATAAATTCGTGTGTGCCACGAAAAGAATAGTATATTTCGTAACGAGTGTGAGCAGTTGGCAATTTTTGAATGAGCACTTTTTTTGGAAACTTTCGAAAACTCTAATAAGTTTGAAATTGATTCTTGAATTAATTTCAGATATTTAAATTTTAAAGTTGAATATTATTTATAAAGCGGAAACATGCATCCAGTTTATTAGAATCCACTTCATTTTTTAAAATTTTATAATGGTTTTGAACAATATAAAAATATTAAATTTAAAAATTTATTTTCCAATTAAAGTGGGTACTGCAGAGCTCGAACTAGGTCCGTAAATCCTGTAAAGGTCCGTAAATTTCCTTAATTAAATTCCTCTCCGAAATTAAATTATTTTCAAAAATTGTAATAAAATTCTTGGCAAAATTTCAATTATTTTCAAAAATTTTGCCTAATAATTCAATAATTTTTAATATCTACTATTTTATTAAAATTTTCCAAAAGAATTCAATTATTTTTAAAAAATTTAATAAAATTCTACACAAACTTTTAATTATATTTTCATAAAATAATAAAAATTTTACAGGAATTCAATAATTATTTACAAATTTTTTATAAATTTCTTCGCAATCATTAAATTATTTTCATAAATAATAAAATTTTTAAGTGTGATTCAATTATATTAATAAATAATAAAAATCTTTTTAGCAATTCAATTATTTTCATAAATAATAGAACTCATTGCAGAATTTCAATTCTTTTTAATACAATTTTAATCAAATTCCTCGAAAAATGTAATTAATTCAATTATTTAAAAATTTATTGATAAAATTCTTTATGAGAATTCAATTTAAAAAAAAAACATGCAATTATGCAATAAATTTTTTTTGTATTTAAATAACTGAAGTCTAGTAGAATTTTTTAATAAAAATTGATTTTAAAATGGATTTCAGTTAAAATTTTAAGTTATAATAATTAAAATTTTTGAAAATCTGAATTTTTCTTAATTTTTAACTAACAATCTTGTGGAATTAACTTTTTTGATAAAGTTTAATTGTGGTCAGTAATTGTCCATAAATGGTCCAAAATTTTTCATTTTTGGTTCATAAAGTTCGTATTTTTAAATACTTTCATTGGTTCGAGCCCTGGTACTGATAAATAGCTGGGTGCCAGTTTCACTTTTACTGAATATTTGACATTATTTTCTAAAATACGAATTTTTTTCAATAATGACAAAATAAGATAAAAGAGAAAAATGTTATAAATTTTTATCGTACTTTCACCACACCTTAAGATTTACTCTTATTTCTGTTATCATTTTCTGTACCACTTTCAAAATCATGATTAAAGTAGGTTGTATGATAGCAAATGCTGTCGATATGCACTATTGATACTGATATCATCCCACATTTCTCGATGATAACGTGCGGCAACAGTATTTGGTGTATACGCGTGCTCTTATCGGACAAGTGCATTTTGACCCCCTATCGTTTTATATATTTTCATCTCTAATTTAGCAAATTAGAGCATTATATCTCAGAAAAAAAATTCACTGAATAGAATGCTAATTTCAGAAAATTAGAGATAATTTTTATATTTATATTCTTGTTCTTTTCTTCTTGATGTGTTGTATTGTGTACGTATACCAAATTCGATATAGTTTGTGAAAAATTCAGATAATCTATGAAATATTATGCATCTTATTTTGTGCTTCTTTTTTGCAAAAAGTAATAGGTATTCTTAATAGAAATTCACAGAATCTGAATTTGTATACGTCGCGACCATCATCATCCCTCGTTATTTTCAGATGCGCCGGCAAAGTACTGTAGATCACAACCCTGCGCATTCAGTCTTCCCCGTGAAAGCAATCCGAAAACGTCTTCAGTGTCGCGGCTTTCCTCCCTTTTAGTCAAAGTGCAACAAAAATTATCAACAGTGTACAATATTTTCAAAAATATTTTCTTTTTTAAATTCTCCACAGTACAAATAGTTTCTTTGTGTATTTTTTTGCGTATTTTTTTATTTTGTACTGAAAAGTTAAAAATTCAAGAGCAAAAATGTATTTAAAGTATTTAAAGCTGCTTTTAGAAGTATATAAAACTTTGTATCAGGATTCAAATTAGTTGGTAATAATTTTCGCCGTTGGAGAAAATAAACTTGGCAGCAGCTAACGTGGACATTATTCAATTTCATAAAAGCTTTAAAGTAGAGGACTGACTAAAAATAGAAATCCCTTTCTTATTCAAAACGGTCCGTTATTTGTTTTTCTAGTACTACCTACGTTCCTGCGGTAAAGACTTTTAGAGCACTTTCTCACGGTGATTCAATTTTCAATTTACCAGTAATTGTTTTATGTAAAAGTATAGCAATTTAACGAAATCATGAACAGAAAGTTCGAGAATTTTTATTGGAGGAAAATGAAGAAAATATGAAAGAAAAATGGAGAAATATGCAAAAGGAGAAAATAAGGAATTTTTGAATTATTTTATTATAAATAATTTACAGACATCAAACAGGAAATCATCATGATGGTGTACATACATTCGCGGAATAATTACGATCTAATGTAGTTTGCATTCGTTGTCGCTCTTCCTGGATTCTGGTGACTTGAGCTTCATGATCACATCTCTTTACCTTTCTTTTTTTTGTTGCAAAAAGGGAAAAATAAGAAGTATACGTTCTGCCTCTCGGCGACATGTGCTCGCCACTAAGCGTACTACTATTTATAATACTCTGAATCACGCATGCACTGGTCACGAACTTTGATTCTGCACGATTTCACGTGGTTTCCAAACACCAAACTTTGTTTTTTTTCTCTCTCTCTCTATTTCAACAAGAAGGAGAAAAAAACATTCCAGGAAACAGGATACAACACCTTTTGAAAAAGCAAAAATTGAGAGAAAGAGTAATTTTTTGGTACATTGGAAACATGTTTAGAATGCTTCAAGAGTCTAATTATAAAGAGTAAACAGAAGTTGAGTGTAGTACGAAAGGAAGTATAAACGAACCTAAAAGACAAGAAGAACAAGTGTATAAAAAAGAAAGCAGTAAAAAAGTTGGCAGAGAAAATAAGAGAAACAGGAAAGGGGACGAAAATATGACATCAGACAAGATCTGTTTGGGGGAAAGTTGCTTCTGAAAACATTGTTTCTCAATATATAACTTTTTTCTTAGTTTACTAAAATATTCATGGATTACGAAAATATTCTCGACTAACAAAAAACAATAATTCATAGACAACAATGCATTTGGTAAATTGCAATCGCAACCACAAATCACAATTAATGCTAATCCTCTTAGAATTTCTCTATATACAATTCTGAGAAATGTCTCTGAATAATCCGGATGGCTTTAAGCGAAACCACTTGTTCGATCTATCGAAAGAGGATTAGGTCTACGTACTTTTTCCGTTTTATATTAAAAAAGGGAATTCATTTTCTGTATTACCATATCGACCCCTCTTTTGGGATGAAACGATGCTGAAAATCGAAGAAAACAATTTCTGATAGACACGTAATGAGGTGTCACAGAAATTTGAGATCCAACTGTTAAAATTTGGGATTAATTATGTATGGCGATTCGGAAAGATGTTTTTATGATGGAGGCGATCAAAATGCAGTGCCAGCTCAATTGGGTTATTTTTTCCCTGTCAATGGGCTTTATTGCATTGCAATACCATCTTCACATCATCGACCAGAAGCTGCTGCACATTCTCCCCGTTTGTCGCGTCAAACCCTTTGGTGAGTTCTCTTCTTCCATTCTTAGGCGTTAGGCGTCACCCTCTCTTATGTCCTTAATGGTACTTTGCCGTTTGCATTTTAATCACACACATTCTGGACCCTTTTGTTTTACACATTCTTCTTCCATCTCCAAGGTTCTCTTATTTTCACTCCCTGTATAGTCTTCTTAAGAATAATAATCAAATGCATCCGTCTAGTACAAAGAATTTGTTTTGAAAATTTAGTTTTTGATTTTTAGATTTTTATTAATAGATTCAGATTTTTTTTTGGTTTAATAATATGTTGCTCTTGATGCTAATGATAATTAAATGCACCATCTATGCTGCACCATAAAATACAGAAAGTTTGTTTTTGAAATTTTCTTTTTAATTTTTAGTTTTTTATTTATAAATGTTTGTTCCTTTGTTCACTGACAACATGCTGCTCTAGCTTTAGGAAAAAAATAACACAAAAGCGAATTTTTTAAGTTGGTTATAATAAAATTCAAATGCATCATTTACTATAAAAAGTTTCGTGTTTTCAATCTTAAAAGTTTAGTTTCTGATCTTAGTATTTGATTTTTAGTTTTCCATTTCTAGTTTTTTATTTTCAAATTCCTGATCACTTATTTATTGACAACATGTTGCTCCAGCTTTTAGACAAAATAAGACAAAAGCAAATTTTTCAAGGTGGTTATAATAATACTCAAATGCATCATCTACTATAAAAAGTTTCTTGTCTTAAAAGTTTAGTTTTTGATTTTAAGTTTATTATTTTTTAATTTTACTTTTCTTATTCAATGATAACACGTTGCGTTGCTCCAACGTTTTGAAAAAATAGCTGAAAGGCAAAATGACTGAGGTGCTTATAATAATAATCGAATGCAGTATCTAACTACAAAATGTTTAACGGCTTCACAGGAAAAAAAAGTCTGACTCTGTTTACACCTTAAATTCAGCCCATGTATTTCACATAAGTCTGTCCTTGTTTAACAGAGCTGACTCCGTTTACATCTTAAATTCAGCCTCAAAAATAGGCTGAAAGTAAAACTTTTTTTTAGTGTGTTTAAAATTTCGGTTTTTACTTTTTGTTTTTGCTTTCTAGTTTATAATTTTTAAATACAAGTTCTTTTATTCAACGTTAGTATATTGCTTCAGTTTTTAAAAGAAATAACACAAAATCGAATTTTTCAATAAGCTTATAATAATATTCAAATTCATCATATCATCTATAACAAAAAGTTTCTTGTCTCATAATTTTAGTTTTTGATTTTAAGTTTTTGAATTTATCTTTTGATTTCTAGTTTATTATAACTTAAAATTTAAGTTCCTTTACTCCATGACATAAGATGTTGCTCCTGCTTCTAGAATAAATAACAAAAATGCAAATTTTTCTAGGTGCTTATGACAATAATTAAATGCATCATCTACTACAAAACGTAGTTTGTTTCAATAGTTTATTTTTTTATTTTTTGTCTTTGATTTCTAGTTTATTATTTTTAAATATCTTTTATTCAACGACAACTTGTTGCTCCAGCTTTTGGAAAATAAGAACAAACAGACGATTTTTTCAATGTGATTATAATATTATTCAAATCCATTATCTTTTACACAGTTGTTGTGTTTCATTCCTTTATATCTTGCTTTTTGATTTTTACTATTTGTTTTTTAAATTTCCGTTTTCTTATTCAATGATTACATGTTGCTCTATACTTTTTTGTAAAAAAGAACAGAAAAGCGAATTTTCTAAGGTGCCTATTTTTCTTTAAGCATATTTTCTTCCACTTTAGTGTAATGAATACCTGGTAAAGCCTTACAGAGAAATAAGTGAGAGGAGTCGACACTAAGTAGATCATTTCGAGTTAACTTAATTATGTGTCACGTCAAGCTAAAGATGTAATATCGAAATAAGTTGATACTGATAGAAGAAAGTCCCGCTTTCTGTGAAAATTGTATACATGTATCGAAGGTGCAGTTATAAGAACACGATAGAAATTTGTCATTGAACCCGTTATATGCACTGTTTACCAACTTCAGTGTTACATATTTCATTAAATGATAAGAATTCAACGAGTTAGATTTACAAACATCGCGATTGAAATTGAAAAATTTCCATTGATATCGTAAAATATATTTATTCACGTCTTTTAAATATTACTATACAATTGAGCATTATAAGCATTATAATTTACAAATGAAGAAAGTTACCTATTTTTAAATATTTCAGCAAAAACTACAATAAGAAATGAAATTATTTTCGAAATTATAACAACTTTAATTTGCAGATAATTTACTATACAGTTCTACATACACAAGTATTGCGTTTTTTTATTATATATATATATTTATATATAGGAAAATATTTCAAAATACATAACTTAATTTACTGCTTTTTCTATTCTCTACGAGAAAAGGTCTAATTTATTTAATATACATTTTATATTTTAGATCTAATTTATAAATAATATCTTAACATGCAGTCAAACTTCGTTAAAGACAATTTAACGTAAATTTCTCATAGGTGATTTTCCGTAAGAAAAAAATAAATTTACGAACTGTTGGAGTTTGAAATCCAAACGTAAACAATCATAATTTTGCTGTCAAGTAATCTTTTGTTGACTGTTTTAAATTTTTTTTCTTTTTAACTTTTTGTTAAAAAATTTTTCTTTGAAAACTAGGTAGTGGTTAAATTTTTATAAAATTTCCTGTTAGGGAGCTACTAAAATTATAAGTGATGAGATTTACAGTTACAATTAACGTTTTTATATTTTCGTTTCTCGACGCATTTTTTTTATCTGTTAAGAACGCGTTGTATTAACTTTATCAAACATTGTCTTCCGATTATTTCAATTGACCTATGAATGTATATAATATATATTCTCTCTCATTCTACACAGCCATATTTATCTCTTTTGATAACCGAAATACAATCTTAATTATACAATTCTCATACTATTATCGAAAAACAGAATCAGTGAAATCTCTCACAGGTGGTGAAGTGGGTCACTGATTCTGTTCTAGAAGCTAAAATCACATGCAATACTTAAGACATATCCTATTATTTTTTCAATATTTGCACTTTAATAAAAAAAATTCTATATTCAACAAGAACTGCTAGATATTTGTTTCTTTTGTGAATCACCATCATCATCATCATCGCAATCGGAAACACTCTTCGCGGCTATGTTTCCCGCTAGTTTCATTTGAATTTCGTGCAATGTCTTTCCTTTTGTTTCGGGAACAAAGAAAAATGCGAACAATGTTGACAAAAAACATTGACTACAGAAGAACCAAAAAGTGTTTGACTGACCAATTAATTGAGCAAGTGCGTGAAAAAATTTAGTGACAATAAAAACAAGGAACCAATTGGTCACAAATGATATGCTGCTCGCTATTGCTCTTGATTTTTGAGGAAATAGTTCGCCGACCATTGCATAGGGCACGGAACCATAACCCACAGAAAAGACGAAATTGAATGACCCAAGGCAGAGTAGTGGTAACCATCCAATGGACGATAAGTCGACTCCATCCTCCTTTAGTTTGAAATAGTAACTTAATATTCCGATCCAAACTGTCATAGCAAAGCCAGATACGATGAGCAGAGGTTTTCTTCCAAATCTGTTGAGAAATTTTCCAAATTAATTGTCGAAACAAAGGAAAGTCTTTTGTTTTACTTACCTGTCTATCGTTATACCGACAATTATGGCCATAATGACTTCGATTAAGCCAATGACAATTGTCGCCAGATAAGGGTCAATGGTACTACCAGCGTCCACGAATATAGTGACTGTGTAGAATAAAACAGCGTCGATACCACACATTTGTTGAAACCACATTAAACCCAAACATGATCGTAAAGCTCTTCTACCAGCAAGAGTTCCAATTAAATCACGAATTCCTCCCTTTCTATTTTTCGCCTCTTCAATGTCTTCAAGAATCTGTGCAACTTCCTGATTCACATCATACTTTTTCCCACGTAGAATTTTTAAAACTGCTATTGCCTCCAATTTTCGTCCTTGTCCCAGTAGCCACATTGGTGCTTCTGGCATCAATGAAATACACGCGAGAAATGGTACCAAACTCAGACAACAAGCAATGTTGAAAGTTTGATACTCTAGATATGCCCCAGCCGTGTATGAAAATACAATTCCCAGGGAGAAGAAGAAGGGAAAAAATGTCCCCATTGCTCCACGTAATGATGGTTCTGCTATTTCGCCAATGTAAACTGGTACAAGAACACCGGCTGCACCAGAACCAATGCCGCCCATTAGCCTTCCGAGATAGAGCCAGGGTAATGACCTGCCGAATATCAATATTATCCAGGAAATTAGACACGGTGTTGTTGTTATTCCAATGGCGAGTCGCCTTCCATATAAATTAGCTAAAGTACCGGCTGGTATTGAACCTATCATTGCTCCAAGTGGCATTAGAGATGATACCCAGGAACATTCGCTGTCTGTCATGTTGACGAGGAACGAATCCGTGGAATTTAAATATCTTATTGTTGGCGATGACCAGGCCAAGGCCATTCCACTCTGGCTAACCGTCAGACCAGCTGAAAAATTTTGATATTGTTAGGTTTTCTATTAAGTATTTTTTTTTTGATTTTTTGTGAAGTTTATCGTTAGGTCTTTTGTTAAATTCTTATCACGAATGAAGTATTCGACTTTACAGACATTAAGAGATATCTATTAGTGCATTGTGCATCTGAGAAGATTGTTAGATTTTTGCTTTTTGTTTATGGCAGAAGTATGAAGCATTTCCTTGTCTTTAATCTGTTTTTGGAGACTACTACAGGTAGACATGAATCTGGATCAGTGAGACCGTTCGAGACTCATGAGTATTTTCTAAATGATAAGCAATCGAATTATTAAATTTTATGAAGTAGCATGTAACAGAACTTTTGAGTAAAATAATTGTCAAGTAACCGAATTGTTATTTAATAGAAAAGCTTGTATAAAAAATGACAAGTAACTGAATATTTATTGAACAGAAATTCATGCAATACAAGTGCCAAATAATAGAACTGCTACTTAACAGAATTGATGTATGATATGGTATTTAACAGAATTGACATTTGGCATTCTTGACAAGTGACAGTACTGTTATTTAACAAACCTAACATGCTTCAAAATTAACATTTAGTTTATCTGACATGGAATAGAATTAACATTTAACCGACTTGAAATGCAGCTGAATTGTTATTTAACAAACCTAACATGTAACAGTTTTACGATTCAATAGAATTGACAATAAAATGTACTTATCATTTGGTAAACCTTATGTGTATGTGACATTTTTCCAACCTGTTGCATTCAGTTTTATGTCAAGTCTGTTTAATGTGTCAATTCTGCTACTAATAAAGTTTGCAAAATGCAGAGTTAATTCTGTTGCAATTCAGGTTGGTAAAATGTCAATTATGACATTAGCTAAGTTGCGGTTTTGTGAAATAATTCCATTACATGCAAGGTTTGTAAAATGATTATTTTGTTAAGTGAAAAATTGGTTTATTAGTGATTCTGATAAAAATGACAATTTTGTCACCAGTGGATCTGTTAGATGACAAATTTGTTGCATGACAAGTTTTTGAACTTGTGCTTCTGTAAAAATTACAATTCTGTTCAATGTCAGGTAAGAAAAATTACAGATTTGTTGAGTAAAAAGTCAATTAATTTGTGATTTTGTTAAAAATACTGATTTTATTACGTGTCTGTTATTACTGTTAGATGACAAGTTTAATTCGTGCTTCTGTTAAAAATTACAATTCCGTTCAATAGCAAGTTTAGAAAATGACAGTTTTGTTCATTGATAAATCGGTTAATTTGTGGTTCTGCTGTAAATACCAATTTTGCTTCTGGTTCATCTGTTAAATGATAAGTCAGCTATTTTTCGGTTCTGTTAAAAATGATAATTTTATTATCAGTTAAATTGTTTAATGACAAAATTCTTGTTTGACAAGTCGTTTAATTTGTACTTCTGTTAAAAACGGCAATTCTATTGCATGCTGTTCTGACGTTAAATGAAAATTTTGTTTAGTAAGAAATCTGTAATTTTGAAATTCTTTAAAAAACGACAATTCCGTTATATGCTGTTCTGCTAAACGAGAGTATACGGTTATTTGATAGTTGGAGAATATATCGATCCACCTCTAGTGTTTATTTTGTTCTAACAAAAAATTAAAATTCTTTTTGTATAGATAAAGAAGGTCCCAAACGGTATAAATAGAAAAATAAAAGTGCTGTTTGTATAGAAAGAGGAACAAATAATTCAAAAGGTATAGATCAAAAAAATAAAAGTGCTGTTTTTATAGGTAAAACTACATAAGATCCAAAAGATACAGATTCCGAAAATTCAAATTAATTTTACACTTCGGATATATTTTTTTTGTTTTTTGGTCTTTTAATTATCTAGAGAACAAACTAAATTACAAAAACCGCATTTAGACCTTTTTATTACAAAATAATTGAAAACGAACAATTTTAACAAAAAATTCAAGTTCAGTGGTAATAAAAATGTTTATTTTTCTTTATTGACAATTCTAATTCTACTTTTGTGTACCAATTATTATCAATTTTGATCGTGAATTTGTTAGAAACGAAAGCACTTTTAAAACAACCAAGAAAATATTTGTAGCATTTTGCATAATTTTTTGCAAAATCAAAAATATAAGAAAGACTCCTACCAATATTATTCCTAATCGGTTATTTTTCTTATAAAATATTGGTCTTCTCTATTATATTCGTAACGAACGTTAAAAATTGATTTCGAAATCTTCAAATATCGATAATGACTATATCATAAAAGAGCCACTTTAATAATTTTCTCTTTATCTAAAAATTTCAAAAACCTATTTTTCAACACTAAGCAAAAAAAACGAAAATATTTTACTTACCGACTAGAGTAGCCAGAAATTGAAACAACTTTTTCCCCTCCTGTTTGGGTGCAGTCAATATATTTGTTTTTGTCACTCCACCATATTCAACAACAATTGTATTTTTTTCAAGCACCGAAGAAATTATTGATTTTGTTAGATGACTTAGTTCCGTGGGTTCTTCAACGGATGTCACAGCATCCGTCATTAATTTACCATTTAACATTCTTGCAGTCTCTTCCGTCATATTAAAAAAAATAAATTAATTAAATTAAATTAAAAAGGTTAGTAATAAATTCGATTGATGCCAAAGTTCATGCTTCTTTAATCTTTCAAAGTTAATATGATTGTATTAACTGATTTCTTTTCTTTCCTCTCAGTGGTATAAAACTCCATAAATATAATTTTTTTTTCTCTTTTTCGAAATAGTCTCTCTTGACTCTATCACCGGCAGTTCTGATATGTACAAAAATAAAACCCACTCTGTCGCTTTATGATCTTTGAAAATGAAGATCGGCCTTGAATCTCTTTAATCACATCGGTTACTTTGAATGGCAATGAATCATTACGAAAAGATCAATTGGTACTTGAATCAGCCTGGGATTCTATTCTCAAGACTCTCTTTTTCTCTCTCTCTTTACCGTCACACTTGTAGAATTGATTACAGTTTACATCCGGGGGGAAAGGAAAAAAAAGAATTTTTTATTTTCTCTTTTTAGGGCAATTTTTTGTCAACTAGTTTTACTCCTTAGAAAAAAAGGCGTTCGTCTTCCTATGATATCTCACACTGACTGCGCGAAATTAATCTCTTCACTGAAAAAAAAAATAATGATAAAGTTGCCTTATTCTTCCCTGACAGTGTTCACATCTAATCTCGTTTATTTATTTAGAGTTTTATTTTTTACGTTCACTTTTAATTTCGCCATTTTTCCATTTCTTGTATTTATATAGTCTAACTGGGAAAAGGAGAAAATTGTATCTTTTGTAAAAAGAGGGGGGAGAATGAAAAATTTCAAATTAATATAGATTTTGTTTATTTCTCAATTATTGGTGTTTTATTGCACACATTTTATTTACTTAAGTAATTAAGTAATTAACTTAAGTAAGGTGTGAAAGTCAGTCTTCTTGAATTGAATAGTGTACATTGTTAATAGGTGAGATTTGATAGTAGATTTTTTTATTGTCTGATAATAATGAGTAAAATGTAGATTGACGTCAAGATTCGAGATTCAACTTAATATTGTCAGTTGTTACCGGTATATTTGGAATGTTCTCCTTTTCGATTCATGTAAATATTACAATATTTATGTTGCATAATTTAGTTTTTTTCATTCTCACTATTTTCTTTTATTTATCTATTTTTACTTATTTTTATTTATTTATATTTATTTTCTTTCTTTTATTGATTTTTATTTATTTATATTTATTTACTTTCATTTATTTATTTTTTGTTATTTATTTTTATCTTTATTATGGTATTAATAATAATTCGAGAATATTTTTTTATTACAATTTATTATAAAACTAAAATTAATTTTTTCCTCTTTTTGGTATTCCCAGGCGCGAAAGACCAGTGCTGACGATGGGTTGAAACTTGACTGAGTCTTGAACGCCCAGCGTGGGTAACCCAGAGTTGAGGCAGTCTTTATATCATTGTCACTCAATATTGGTTCAGCATGGGACACCAATGTTCGTCCCATGCTCGATTTAACACTCGGTCAATCTTCGTGAGTGGAGCTTCAACATCCAGTCTTTATTCAAGCTTGAATCAATCTTGATAGTTTATTTATTACCGTGTGCACTTAACAATATTAGATATAAATACTTATAAATTATTTAATATTAAAATATTATTTCTGATAATTTTTAGTAATTTTTTATACTATTTAAAAATTATTATTATTAATTATTATTAAATAATATAATAAGTATTATTATTATTGTTATTAAGATATCAATTGGTAAATAAATATTAATATTTATTTAGTGCATTATAAAAAGAAAGGTACTAATTTAGTACCAATTTTAGGACTAAATCGTCATTTGGTTCTATTTTAATACCGAAAATCAGCTCTAATTTAGAACCTTTTATTTACAGTGTGTATAATATTTATATTAATTACATAAGATTCATATCAATAAAGTTAAATTATTATATATTATTTTTAGGGTTCCGTACACCATAGGTGTACTGACGGAACCCTTATGAAATCACTCGTGTGTCCGTCCCAGCTACGCAAAATGGGCTGTCCCCCCCCTTAACTTTTACAAATCTCAACCTAGTGAGCTGAAATTCGGTAAGGATTTTCAGTTTTAAGGAGGAATGGTATACCTAATCGGGCCAAAAGTTTGTGACACTTAGGGGAATTTGTAATTTTGTTATTTAAGCTACATATAGCAGTTTTTCTTATTGAAATCATAAAAGTAGACATCAATGAATATTAAAAAGTATATATTAAATAAGGAAAATATAATAAATTTATTAAATTACATTTTTTTATAAAAGCAGAAAATAATTTTTGTTACTGTCTGTACGAATTTAAAACCTAAGAAAATAAAAGTTACTGAAATTCTTTAAAAATTATTTTCGGATTTATCGAGTATTCCATTGCAAACTTTGAAAAAATGCTATTATTACGTATATATGTGTCTTATTATGCTGTAATATTAATGTTATTAATTATAAACATTGTCAAATAACAATTTGTAATGAGCGTATAATCGTGACAACGTCGCAATGCAAGTAGTTTGTTTTTTGATCGTTGGTAACAGTGTCAAGTATTGTGGTTTGTTATGATTTGCATTTGTGTAGTTAAAAATAATGAAAATTTGTCATTTTTGGTACCTTTGGCGCCATCTCTTGGTTCTATGTACCACTAAACAGCTGTCACATGTGAGACTTTATATACAGTGTTGCCACGTTTTCTCTGTTTGTCTGTCATAAAATTAGTTTTCTTCCAGAAACTAATTAATTACTTTTAAACTAATTAGTGAATAAAAAAGAACCTTCGTGATTAATAAAGCTTAAATCTTGACCTTCAAGATACAATTTTTACAAGAAATTCTGAATGTTTTAAGTATTAAATTTTTAATGACAAACATGCAAATTCGTGCTTTCCCCATAAGAGGTAATGTTAAATTAAATAATTTTTAACTTGTAAACTATTTAGTGAAAAATTCTGAAATTTGGTGGGTAACTTTATTATATAAAAGCAAATCATTTCCCAAAATATCAAAAGATTCTGAATGTTTTGAATTTCTATACCATTCCTCCTTAAGTGCAGATAACAGAAAAAATATAGTGAACCCAATTGACGGACATATTTGCGAACTAGGAGGGAAAGAAATTCAATTTTTTCGAAAAAATTGAAAAAATTACCCTGTCCCCCCCTTTAACTTTTACAAATCTTAACTTGATGAGCTGAAATTCGGTAGGGATCATCAGTTTTAAGTGCAGATTACAGGAAAAATATAGCGAACCTGATTGGTGGAGATATTTGGGAACTAGAAGGGAAAGAAATTGAATTTTTTTGAAAAAATTGCAAAAAATGACCCTGTCCCCCCTTAACTTTTACAAATCTCAACCTTATGAGCTAAAATTTGGTAGGGATCTTCAGTTTTAAGTGTAGATTACAGGAAAAATATAGCGAACTCGATTGACGGACATATTTGCGAACTAGGAGGGAAAGAAATTCAATTTTTTTGAAAAAATTACAAAAAATGACCCTGTTCCTGCGGTTAACTTTTACAAATCTCAACCTAGTGAGCTGAAATTCGGTAGAGATCTTCATTTTTAAGTGAAGATTGAGGTAAAAATATAGCGAACTCGATTGACGGACATATTTGCGAACTAGGAAGGAAAGAAATTGAATTTTTTTGAAAAAATTGAAAAAATTACCCTGTCCTCCACCTTTAACTTTTACAAATCTTAATTTGATTAGCTGAAATTCGGTAGGGATCTTCAGTTTAAATTGCAGATTACAGGAAAAATATAGCGAACTCGATTGACGGACATATTTGCGAACTAGGAGGGAATTGGTTACCTCCACCCCACACAGCACATGATATTTCCTGAATACTTCCTGAATATTTCACTGAAAGATTGAAATATTTCATTGCAAGATTCAGGAAATATTTCTGCAAACAGGAAAATGTCCGCTTATGTGGGAATATTGACGCGAAAGTTGAGAAAATATTTCATTGAAATATTTTGGAAATATTCAACTGAAATGATGCGCACTGGTCGAACTCAGTTTCTATGGCCTGTAGAGTTGCGCAGTAGTTTTTGGCTTACTATATCCTATGGGTTTTAAAATATTTCAGAAAATTCCTATTGATTTGAGGTGTTTAACAAATTTTTCCATTTTTTGAAATATTTTCACAATATTGCAGAATCTTTATGTGTAATATTGCAGGAATATTTCAATAAAATATTTTCTCAATTTTCGCGTCAATATTCCTACATAAGCGGACATTTTCCTGTTTGCAGAAATATTTCCTGAATCTTGCAATGAAATATTTCAATCTTTCAGTGAAATATTCAGGAAGTATTCAGGAAATATCATGTGCTGTGTGGGACGTGGTGCATCTCGGAAACAATATCATTGAAAAAAGTAATGATTTTTAAAAATAAAATATTAAAAAAATTTTAAATTAAAATAAATTTCAATGAAATTGGCAAAATACCAATAAATAAAAAATTTATTATAATTAATAATATAAGTATCTTTTGTTAGTTTATATCCAATATATTATTTTAAATATTATCTCTAATCAGGTAAAATATATATTTTTTGTTATTTGTAAATAAAACATAAGAATTCAATGTGGATTATAGTTATAGTTTTTTTTAATCTATATGTAATAAAAATACATATGTGTACCGAATATCAGCTCAATAGGTTTATATATGTTAATATTAATCAATTATATTTCTTATATATATTTTTTTTTATAGAAAATGAGTTTTATTTTGGTGTACGGAACCCTCGATCTTAATGCGAGTGCAACTCGCACTTGCCCGATTTTTTTTCTTGCACAGAGTCAAATTATTATTTCAAAGTTCAAGAGTTTCGTTTATCTGAAAAATTTTCAGTGAAAAAAATGCTCATTAGGTAGTAATAAATATTTATGCCTAGTAGTTTTACACTAGGTTTAACTGTTTACTGAATATTATCAAAAATATATTTTTCGTCAAACGCGCGCGACTAAACACAAATAACCTTGAGACGTTGCGATTGTCGTGCTCCCACCATCCCATCTACTCAATGCTTTCCCCTCATGACGTCACAGGCGGGGAGTGTATTGAGTAGATGGGATGGTGGGAGCACGACAATCGCAACGTCTCAAGGTTATTTGTGTTTAGTCGCGCGCGTTTGACGAAAAATATATTTTTGATAATATTCAGTAAACAGTTAATCCTAGTGTAAAACTACTAGGCATAAATATTTACTACTACCTAATGAACATTTTTTTTACTAAAAATTTTACAGATAAACGAAACTCTTGAACTTTGAAAATAATAATTTGACACTGTGCGAGAAAAAAAATAATATATAATTTAACTTATAAAATTATCAGAAGAAATATTTTAATATTAAATAATTTATAAATATTTATATTTAATATTGTACAGTGCACACGGCAATAAAGGAACTGAATATTGTAACAAGATTACTGAGACTTGAAACGAGTATGGGACGAACATTGGTATCCCATACTGAGTGACGGCACTGGCATTGATATAGTAGATTAGGCGAGAAGCCTTCCAGCCTTCTGTGGCCGAGCGGTTGCTCGCACCCCTGTGGCGGGGTGCGTGAGTTTCGATCCCACATGCGAGCGAATATTTTTCATTCTTTGTTATAAGCGTTTATATAAAAAAATAAAATTGTGTGTTGTGTCGTGAATAAAAAATGTGAACATGTTTATAAATAATGTTAAAAGTATGTTAAAAATCAAGAAAAAAATGTAACGATTAACAGAAAAATTGTCTTTTTTTACTAAAATTATTTTTTTAAAATTACTATTCAAATGATATTTATTGTTAGTAATATATTCTTATTTATATGAAAATAATATAATTATTACAAATAATAACTTATTGTCATTAAATATATATGTATATATACGCACATACATGAATTAAAATAATAACAATAATATTTATTATTATTATTAATAATTCATATATTCACATTATATTGAATAAACGTGAGAAACGAGTAAATTTGGGAACAGTGGAAGCAGTCTTGTTTCAGTCCTGCATTAGGCGTCCGCAGCATTGATTGAGCATTGGTGTTCAATGCTGAATCAAGGCTCGCGTTGCAGTCTGGAATCGGTGTTACATTAAAGCTTCGATCAGTCCTGCTCTCGCTGATTCACTCATGCTCAATCAATGTTGACCAATGCTCGGCCAATCTTTATAAAGCCTGAACTCGGCGTCACTTCGCGCCTGGGTTAGTTTATTAATCAATTAATTAATTTCCTTATTTATTTATATTTCTATATAAATGGCACCAAAATGTCCCATTTGTACAAAAGTACTTCAAAATAAATATGTAACGTTTACAAGCAATGGAAAATAATTTAGTATTAATAATAAATACTTAATAAATAAAAAAATAATTTAGTCATAATTAAATTCTCTAAAAATTCAATTTCGTTTTTAATTGAAAACTAAAATAACAACAGAAAAAATTCTACTTAAAAGTGTCAAGTGAATGTCATCACACAATATCAATTTTTTCACAACAATATAATTAAAGACGCAATTGATTTTTTTAATGTATTTTATTCTTATAATAAAGTAATTTAATTTTTATTAAAAAACTAGAATATTTAAAAATAAAATTATGAATGATTACTGAAGATAAGAGACGAAAATAAAAAAAACAAAGTAGAAATGGTTATTTAGCTCAAATTATAATTTTTAAAGTTATTTAAAGAGACAACGTAAATAAATGCGAAGCATCGCATGTTTTGGGAAGAACTGATATCGTGACATTGATAAAAATCTTATTTCAGTACAAAGATAAATTTCTACTATATTTCGGAAGATATGATAAGCTTTTGGTTTTGAAGACGAATATTTATATATATTATACTTTCCTAAGGATCACAATGTAGAAAGAAAACATTTTTTTCCCCTTATCTTCGTTTTTTTCCATTAATAATCATTTTATCGCGATTATATTCGTTTTTTTTGCATGACGAGCACTTCCCATGCGGAAATAATTTTTGCATTTAAAATTAATTCCTTTGATTTGAATTTTTTTATTTTACTTTTAAAAGATTTTATTAGCAAACATTAAATTTTTCTGTTTCTTAATTTAATGAAATAAATAATTACCATTTTACTGGGAGAATTTATATTGCTGTAGTTATTAAAAAAATGTATTACATTTAAAATTCAATTTTCTCTTCTCTAGAAAAAAAAATGTTTTCCAAGGTCAATTTAGAAAAAATATTGAAAATTTACAAAAAAATTGATGATGAATGTTAAGAAATCGAATAATGAAAAATTGAAAAATAATTTTAATAAGATTAGAATAGAAAAAATAGAAAAAAGATCGTAATAATTGGAATAAAAATTTTCTAATAGACAAACCTTTCTTTTTCTAATATGTGTGTGTGAATTATTTTATTTTGCAGTGCGGACGTGGAAACGAGACGGTGCAGTGATTCTAGTGAATTTCAAGAATCTTCTGGTAATGGAGGAGGAATTCCTTCATCTCAAAATGCAACTCCACCTTCAATATCAGTTGTTCCACCTGTAAATCACCATCGGGAATCCTATTTTCCTTCCAATGGAATTGACTCAAATTCAGATCCAATTCTTGAGGTTTTTGAAGAACCAGTCGACGAACCGGTGAGTTTGAAAAAATATTTTTATTTATTTACTTTTCTTTATGTTAATTCTCCTTCTGCTTTTTTAAAAATGCACTCATTTCATGTATGGATTATTGTTTTAAATAGACTTTTATCATTAGGTTTTAAAAACGTCACTCCAAACAGTTTATCAATTTTATTTACTTATCTATTGTTTCTTGAGTTCCTGTTGGGAGAAAACTCGATTTTTTATCTTTATAAAGAGTAATTAAAAATTCATTAGTCTATCTATATATACTTAACAGCTGAAAATTACATCATTTCAATAATATGGTAATTTTATTGTTTAAACAAATTTTTCATTTGTCAATTAAGTGTTATACATTTAAGTCATTATTTATAATAATAATAATAATAATAATAATAAAAAATTGTTTGGAATTTTTTAAGTTTTTTTTAAATGGGACCAAAAAATTAGAAAAAATTTCATTTTTTTCTGAAATTAAAAATATCTTTTAACGAATTACAAATAAGAAAGAATTTTAAAACATCTTTTAAATCTTAGTAGAAAGTTCTTTTTAAATAAAATCGTGGTCTGTCTAAATCCTCTGGATTGATTGATGAATGATGATTTAAAAATTGATTTTATAATTTAATTCACTATTTATGTTTTGAACTTTTAAAAGTGTTTTAAGATATTAATACACCTCGATGGATAATTGAATTTCACCGGGAAAATTCTAGTTTGAAAGTTCTTCTTTATCAACTGCTCTCTCTGCTTCTTAGCGGTAGTTAAAAGCAATGCCCTGTTGTATCAGCTTATGTTCGTTCAAACAGAAATTTCTCCAAGTTACTACTAGGTGGCATCAGTTACTAACAATTTGAATAAATTTTTAAATTATTCAATTTGAATTTTTTTAATATTGTCGAAAAATAATTTTTCGTTTAATAGAAATTAGACTCAAATATTCAAAAAAAAATTTATTTGATTCATAGTTATTAACAATTCGAATAAATCGTTAAATCAATTAAATTAAATTTAAAAAAAAAATTAAAAAACCATTTGTTGTTTAATAGAAACTAGGCTGAAAAAAATTATTTCATTTAAATAACCTATTATTTGTCTACTATCAAATAATTAATTACTTGAATCAAATATAATTTAGAGAAAATAATAAAAAAATAATTAATTGCTTTGGTCAAACGATCAATTTAATAATGAAAATTAAATATAAATATAATTTTTATTGAAATCGAATAAAATGTATTTTAACCGAAAATTTCAGTATTTGAAGTAAATATTGTTTACTTGACTTAAATAAAAATTATTGAATACAAATAAATGAATTTAATAATAGACAAGTAATCGTTTATTTGAATCAGATACATTTTTTTCCGCGAAAAAATTTAAATCGTCTTTAAAACCACTTATAAATGTTTACTAATATTTTAAATAAAAATGAGTAAAATATAGGGAAAAAATTATTCGAGTCGACAAATTAATTTTTGTTATACATTTTTTTGTACAATTCGAGGTACAATTTCTATTTTACAAAGTTTTTGTATACATAACGTTTAATTCAACTGATAAAAAGTTAGTTAAAATAAAAGTTCTCTCTAAATCTGAATTAGTGAAAATTAAGCCATACTAATTTACATTAGCCAAAAAAAAAAATAATAATTTTTAGTGAAACGTTACTATTTGTTTAGTAGTTTTAATATTTTTCACTAAAGTTTTAGTTAAAAATTAGTAAAAATTGTTACTATTATGAATTAATGGCTCAATTTTTACTAATTTAAATTTAGAGAGTTCTTTGTGAATATTCCGTAATTCTTAAAAAATCTTTTTAAAAAGTTCTAAGTAATGTAAAAGGTAATCAAAATTATTTTTTTGAATCACAATAAAATGTTAGGCGCGAAAAGAAATAAATCTAAAAAACAGGCATTCAATATGTATACGATATAGAAAAGCTTTTAGAGCAGTCTCCGCCCTTTTAATTAATTATCTAAATGGTTCTGTCAGAAATTATTGTACATCTCTGTTAGAATAAAAATGATTTAATAAAATAGTGAGGCATTTGGTTATATATATGTTCAATTTGGTATTGTTCTGTAACAATGGAAATAAAATGACGTTGTAATTTTTCAGAGGCTTCTAAGTCTCTCTTCCTCTGTCTCGTGGTTCTTTAACTTTTTTTTTATGTGTTTAAGTTGTGCACAGCACTTTATCCATCACCGCTATTAAACATGTTGATTCAATTATCTCTTCAATGGTTCCAATAATTTTTCTTGACTTTCCAAGAAATTACTTCTGTACAACGTTGAATAGCCTAAACGAATTTTATTCATACGTAGATACAATTTATTTAAAGTGAAATTTTAATTCAAATTCCTTTTGTTTCAATTTAAATAATGCTTTACAAATATTACAATTTGAATCACTGACTGAAGTTTAACTTTTTAAAATTTAAAACAATTTTTTAAAAAAAATTTAAAAATTTAAACAATTTAAAAAAACTTTTATTTTAAATAAGCATGTTTTCTATGGTATCTGGACAAGAAGTCCAAAACAAAAATTCCAAAGTAAATTAAATCCAAAAAAGTAAAAAAAAAGTAGTTTTACTTTGGACTTATTTTTTGGATTATTTATCCTGGTCAAAAAATCTAATGAAAAAAATTGAGATGTAAAAATTTAAATGATTGCCTTGAATGAAATAAAATTGTCCTTTTTTTAGTTCCTCATTTCGATGACTGTGTATCGAAAGTAGATAATCTTAACATTTTTAATCTCTGAAAATAATAATTAAATTAATCGAGTAATTTAATTGGAATTATATTCAAAAAAATAATTGAATTTTTGAACAGAATTTTATCAAAAATTGTTGAAAATAATTGTATTTCTTGCGGAATAATTTTTTTTTTTTTAGTTTTATAGAACAATTGAAATTTTTCTAGAAATTTTTTTATTTATGAAAATTGAAATTGAATTTTTGTGAAGAATTTTATTATTTATATAAATGTTTAAAATCCTGAGATTTTAACATTAACATTTTAAATTCCGAATTCATTATTTATTTTGGACCTTTTAACTTTTTTTTTATTTTGGAAATTTTTATTTTGGATTTTTTGTACTTTGGACTTTTTTTCTTAGATTTTTTAAAAAAAGATGAAAAAAAATAATTTTCACTACAATGAACCAAAAGTACAAATTTATTTTATTTTTACAAGTTTTCGCGGCTCTGGTTTATCGAACATTGAAAAATGAAATTTTTCCTCTTCTTTCGTTCGCCATCCTCCAAATTTGCTCCTTCTTTCAAAATGATCAGATTCTGTAACAAATTCAGAAGAAAGGAGGGGGAAGGAACAATGGTAACGTCCTTCAACTAATAGATTTCAGTTGACCCTTTGTGGCTCACTATTGTTTCTTCAGTAAGAGGGATTCCCTTTCTATTGATGTCTCACTTCAATCCATTGTATTCGAGGCGGCCGGTTCGAGTCAATACAATAAATAGTAAACAATAATATCAGCAGGTATAGAGAACATAAGATAATTGCAACCAAATTTGAACAAATAGAAAATCGGATAAGTTCTGATAGAATAATATTTATATTACAGGGTTGTTACATGTTAGGGAAATCAGGGAAAGTAAAATTGTTCAGGGAATTTTATCAAAAGTACTTAAAAAACTATTTTATTCAATTCAATTATTTGTAATACAATTTTAATACAATTTCTTGAAAGAATTCAATTATTTTTAAAAATGTTTTATAAAATTATTTATTTATTTACAAATTCTGTTCCCGCAATCCTAGTAGACCATAATTATATGGGTAACTAAACGTTGATACAAAAGATTAACAGTAATAGATATGATTATATAAATATAATGAAAAATTCAAGCTTTAAAAAATCGATGTAAAAATTAATTCACAAAAATAAAGAAAAGTTCAAACTATAATAAAGATAAAACTATCTAAAATTATCTAATTATTTTTAGAGTGAATTACAATATTCTTTAGGGTCAGGGAAAAATGAAATCAAATTTCTGTAGCAACTCTGTATAAATATTGAATGACTACTTTCAAAATTTATTTAGATCTAAATTTAATTAAATTATGTTCAATTTAGTTGAAGAAATTATTTATTCATATTCTATTTTATTTTAACTTTCGTTCAATACTATAATTTTCATTTTGAGTGTGCATTTTAAAATTGATCAAAGAAAAAGAATTGTGATTGGTCAATTTTAAAATTTCCGCTATGAAATCTTTCTGTCGGTTGTTCTTTTCAGTAATTCAGTTGACTGATGCTTTAGGGTTTTAAGAATTCTATATTAAATAAAAATTTGAACAAATATGTAATTTCGGCTAAATAAAAATTCTATCAGATAAAATTCTGTTTTTTTTATTGCAGTCAGACATTTTTTAAAATATTTTTTTAATTACAACATTAGCAGAAATTATAGTTCTTTAAATTCACTGTTAACTTAGGGGTCGTCCATATACCACGTGGACAGTTTTTCAAAGATTTTTGACCCCCCCTCCCCCCTTGTGGACACAAAAATACATGGGATCGTGGACATTTTCAACCTTTTTTTAACCCCCCCCCCCCCCTCCCCCCAAAAGTGTCCACGTGGTATATGGACGACCCCTTAAAAGTGTAACATTGCAACGAATTGTTAACAAAAGTGTAGAACAAATAATAAATTGATCCAAATTTTTGGTACCAATTTGATCAAATTTTGGTATTAATTTGATACTTTATTATTTTGTTCTCTTTAACCTCACGTGTTAGAGACTTCCATGAGGTTTTACCTTATAAAATTTATAACGTTTACTTTAAAATCCATATGCGCAAAACCAAAAGAAATTAGAGAAATTTGAGATAAATGGAGATAAAGCCCCCCCTTCCCCCCCCCAAAAAAAAAGGTTAAAGAGAAAAAAATATCTTGAAAAACTCTGAAAAATATATCTTTTGGAATTTTTGCCCAATTTTTTTTCAAAATCAGACAAAAGCAGACAAAAATACATTGGAAATAC